GTCAAGGGCGGGGGGAAAAAAGGAGACATATGTAATACTCTTTGTAATACTTTAAGCAATAAATAATAAAAAAAAAGAAAGATGAGCAAATTGTATCCATGTATCCAGGGGCAAATTGTATCATGACCAGGATTTCAGGGTTGGTTTAACACTTGACTGTTTACCAATGTATTTCATCATATTAATATATATCTTTCAACTTCTTTTCTCATTGAGCATCATGAAGGTTTTTGTGTATGGCTTTTGGTAGCATGCTTTTAAATGTCTTGGACTATGTCTGTATTTGAAATTAAACTTTTTAAAATAAAGTTATTTTTGCCCATCCAGTGTGGCTCAGTGGTTGAACATTGACCTGTGAACCAAGAGATCATGGTTCAATTCCCGGTCAGGGCACATGTCTGGGTTGTGGGCTCGATCCCCAGTGTGGGCCGTGCAGGAGGCAGCCGATCAATGATTCTCTCTCTCCCTTCCTCTCTGAAATCAATAAAAAAATATCTTTTAAAGTTATTTTTATCATTTTGCTAGAGGCACTATAATAGTTCGGCTTGTCTCCTGACTGCACCCTAAGTTGTTTTTATCCCTCTTTGTGCCACCAGCCACCCTCCATGCAGAGAATCACCCCACACATCACCTGCGTGTGTAACAGCAACATCATTTATTGAGCAATTGCTGTGGGCCAGGCCTGGGCTAGATAACTCATAGACATCGTGTCAGTCCCATTCTCACAACCCCCGTAAGAAAGGCAGCATCCCTGCTATAGACAAGGAAACCGGGGCCCAGACCGATACAGTCACAGGTCCGGGTCCCACAGCCATCTGGTGGCAGAGCCCAGATTTGAGCCCAGTTCTGCTAACTCCCAAGTAGATGGTCTGATGGCCACTCTTTCTAAATACCTGCAGAGCAGACACCATCCTGCACACATTACAGACCCCTTAATGCCCCTGTGTTCATCTCCCCGTCTCTAAAACGGGACTAATAAGGGTTCTACCCCTGTGAGATCTAATGGGGTAATAACTGGGAAGTGCATAGAAAAAAGCACACGGCCCATGGCAAACACGGTTAAGTATCCTTTGACCCTTATTTGCTAATAATCGATCAATATTTAATTTGCATCACAGCCCTGAGAGAGAGAGAGGTTAGTTATCTTCTCACCTCACCAACGAAGGGCACTGAGGCTGAGAGGTGAACTAAGGAAATGTGTGTGCGCCAAACGGGTCCCACAGCGAAGTCCCCCTCCTGCCCTCGTCACACAGCCCTGCCTTTAGGAGCCCGCCAGCGGTGGGTGATCAGAAAGAAGCCATTCCCTTTGGGTCCTCGGGAAACCAGCCCCAATATGTGTGCCTCTGGAACATTTCTCCCATCGTCCCCAGGGCCAAGTTTCACACACCCAACCACGGGCAGGGGAGGCCCATCCCCATGGAAACCACTCTGTTTCCTACCTTGACCGACTCGGGGCTCGTGACGATGACCGAGGTTTTGTGGAAGACATTGACCCGCACAACAGGCCCATACTTCTTAGCCCTGGAAACCAAAGTGACCCAAAGGAGGCTGTCAACGCCCGGAGACGTGAGTATCACCCGCCCAGGCCCAGCAGGAGAAACGGGGTGTCCCTCCCAGGAGGGGGCTCACCACGGGCTTGGGGCCCAGGCTCTGTCCTGGGGCTGACTGACTACTGAGTCACATCTCCCAGCGGGTCTCAGTTTCCACATCCATGAAATGGGGTTGCTACTCTCCTCCTTTGCCCCACAGGTTGGACTGGGAATCAAGCAAGCTCAGGTCTCTGAAAATGCTTCGAGAAGTAAAAAGCACCACCCCACACAATGACTCGTATCCAGTCACGCCCCACACCCAGGTTACAGATGAGGAAACTGAGGCTCGGAGAGGTTCTGATGGCTGGTCTAAGGTCACGGGATTGCCTTTCCAACCAGCCTGCTGTGCCTCTCCACTCAGGGAGGACCTGCTGGCGATGGGAGTGGCCTGGGCAGGGGAGCAGGGAGTGTGTGTGCTACTGGGCTGGCCCTGTGGGGCCCGACCTGGCATAAGGGCAATGAATGACAAGTTAGGACCCACCAGTCCAAAAACACATCCTGGAGCACGCGGCCACAAGCCTCATCCTTTTTCCAAAAGTAGGGAAGGTGTCCTAGGAGGAAACTAGAAGAAATGAGAAGCATTGTGATCACTGGACGTCACCATTAAAGAGAGCCCCCTTCCCCACAGGGCCCTGTGAGGCCGGCGTTATTAGACCCACTTCGTGGATGGGAGGACTGAGGCATGGCGAGATAGGGCACTGGCTTGGAGTCACCAGGCAGGATGCAATCCTGAGTCTGACCGGCTCCAGAGGCCTCCTTGGAGAGGTGATGGAGAGAAATAACACCATCTCCCGGGTGCAGGTCAGGGGCTGGCCCTCAGTAACGCTGTGTGGAATTACCTTGAGACATTCATGGAACACTTTCCGTATGTGGGGTGCCATGCTAAGCCTCACCCCGTCTGACCGCCCCACACCACCTGGAGGCAGGGCAGCTGAGGCTGGAGAGGTGAGGTCACCTGCCCGCAGGTGTGTGGCTGGAACCAGGGTTCCCTGTAGTCCTTATGAGCAGGGGATGGAGGGGCCGCACTGAGCCTGCACTGTGATCACCCAACTGCAGACAAGCCCTTTGGTGTCACCTTGAGGCACGTTCCAAGGGACTCATGACCTCTGTCTCCTCTAGGACTCTTTTCCAGTCAAGCTCACTTACTACAGCATCCAGACAACAAAACCACAATTGGGATTTTCTGGGTCAGTGACCTCATTCTCCAGGGGGAAGACAGGAGATATGCAAACATGTAAGTAAATAGGAATTCAGAGAGTGATGGGAGAAAAATGTGAGTGGGGGGCAAGGAGAGCTGGGGCTGGATGTAGGGTGGCCATTTTATACAGGCAGGTGAGGGACCATCCCTCTAGGAAGGTGTCATGCAAGCTGTAAGAAGCAAGGGATGAGGCCGAGCAGGTATCTGGGGGAAGAGCATTTGAAGCAGAGGAATGGCAGGTGCAAAGGTCCTGAGGTGGAAGTGGGCTCGGTAAGTTCAAGGAAGGCAGTGTGGCTAGAGCAGGGTGCACAAGGGAACCAAGATCCAGGGTGGGGTCACCAAGGTGGGGCAGATATGGTATGGTCTTGTGAGCTCTTGTCCACGCTTTGGCTTTGCCCTCAGTGAAGGGTTTTGAGCAAAGCGAAGGCGGGATCTGGGTTTTAAATGTATTGTGCTGAGAGTGAAGGGGGAGGCGGGCGCAGGGGTGGAGGCAGGGGCCCCAGTGAAGGGCTGTGAGAGGTAATGCAGGCTCAGACCGGTGGAGGTGAGAAGCAATCCCATTCTGAGTGACAGTGAAGCCAGGAGCCCGGCCACGTGGGTGTGCTGAGTGACAGGTGTCAGGAAAGACCCTGGCCACTTGGAGGAGGTGGAGCTGCACTCGCTAAGGGGAGCAGCGCTGGGAGGGAGCAGCAGACCCCTCATTGCCCCTGCCGTGTGCGTGCAGGTGTGCAGGCTTCCAGAGGCCAAGCCCCCGGGCTCTGGGCTCTGCCTGCAGGAGGGGCAGGCGGAAGCTCCAGCTCAGCACCCCCCAGAGCAGCCTCCGCCCACCTGAGGCCCCGTCCCTCCACCTGGGGCAGCGCTGAAGTCCCAGGTCCCCAGGGGGGTGCACTCGCTTTCACACCCAGAGCCCCAAGGACAGGCAGCAAAGGGACAGCCTGCCAGGGAGACTGAGCTGGAGGCACAGGAGAGCCAGAGCGAAGGGCTGGGGCCTTTGAAGAGAGGCTTTAGGAGGAAGGAGGCATCCGTCTGCCCGGGCTGCTGAGGGGCCAGGCCAGATAGGGCGGCTCCGTGGAGGTCGCTGGGACCTGGACCAAAGCAGGTTGGGTGGAGAGGTGGGGCCGGAGCCCCATGGGGTGGTGGGTTCAAGAGAGAACAGGAGGGAACAACGAGGCCCAAAGACAGGCAGGCTGCTCCGCAGGCCGCAGTGGGGGTGCAGAGAGGGAATGAGAGCGGGAAGAAAAGGGTGGTTTTAACAGCATATTATATAAAAATGGGAGGGATGCAGAGGAGAAGGAAACCGATGGCGCAGGAGGGGGCGTGGGGGCAGAGCTGCTGAGCAGCGAGGGCAGCTGGCCTTGGCCGGGGCCCCTGGGCCCAGCGGGAAGGGGAGGGCGAGCGGCCCGTGGCAGGCAAAGGGGTGGCGGTGGCAGCAGAGCCCTGAAAAGAAGTTCTCGGCTGGTCCATTTGCTCCGGGAAGTGGGAGGCAAGAAGAAAGGCTGGGAGTGCGGGTGGGGGGCGGAGGGGGCGTGCGGGGACTGCAGAGCGGCGGAGGCTGGAGGCCGGCAGCAGCCGCCCAGGAGGAAGGGACGGGGGGAGCTGAGCCCCACCCGAAGTGAGGACTTGAACGTATCCCGCTCCACCTGCAGGAAGGTGGACCGCGGACACCACGCACCACCGGCTGTATTTCCAGAATTATCTGGTATCCATGGTCACTCCCCAGAGCTGCTCCTTTGCAGGAAAACGCTCTGTTTTGAGTGAGAACAGCCTGGAACTCCTCACCCTCCCAGGCGACTCCGAGATCCTGCGCCCTAACCACTGGGGTCCAGGGCCCCTGGGGAGGAAGGCGAGTGACACCTTGAGATGGACAGGGGCACAGAGTGGCCACGTCTCCACTGCCAGGCAAGAGAGGGAACTAAAGCCCGTTCCCTCCAGCTCCTGCAGGGGGCGCTGGGGAGGCAAAGGCAGGGCCAGAAGATGGGTTAGAAATGAGCAGGTAAGGGACCACAGGATGAGGGACGGTGGAACACTGGGGCTGGGAGGGGGCAGCAGAAGCCCACCTGGCATGCCCTGTGGTGGACTGGGAGTGGCAGGGCAGCCCAGGAGAGAGGGGAGGGCAAATCCCCCGCCTGGCTGGTCCCAGCGCGTGCCGTTCCCTAAAACACTGTGGCGGGCACAGTGGGGATCCAACGTTTCCTGTGGGCAGAGAAGCGTGGACAGTCACTGGAGCAGAGGGCATCTGGAGAGCCCACTGTGACCACCCAGAGGGTGGCAGGATGGGCCACCCTCTAGGAGTGAGGGTGAGGGGCCGTGGTGGTGCCTTGTGCCGGAAGGATGAGGGGGTGAGTGCTCAGCTGGGCACCCAAAGTCCAGCAGAGGGTCTCCACCATCACTAGGAAGCACCCGGCCACTTGTTGAACAGCCCCCACCCCCAGCAACGTGGCAAGTAGCAGTGGGAGGAGAGAACCAACATCGCCCTGGGAGTCAAACTTGAAGAACTTATTGCAAAAGAAATAAAACACGGGGAGAGTGAGACTTTTCATTGTCAAGTGCCCCCCCCCACGCTACCAGGAGAGTGGGGGCTGATGAGGAGTTTAGAGCATGACAGAAACCAAGAAGCTAAAAGTGTCTGTGTGGGACCTGAACACTGAGTCCGAGTTTTCAGCCACTATGTGGATCGGTGTGCAGCAGGGTATTGTTTGTAATAAGAACACAGAGGAGGGGCAATCAGGGAGGGCAACCTGGAGGAGAGGGCATCTTGGCGACTCCTGCAGAATAAGGAGGAGAAAGGGTCAGCGTGCAGGAGCCCAGCGGCTGCCTCTTTGCAGGGCAGAGGCGTCCTTGCCCGCAAGCTGGCAAAACTCTGAGGCATCGAGGGGCAAATGCCACCCCTGGAGACTCAATACACTGATTTCTTGCCAACCATGGGATTGCCGGTCACGGGCTTTGGATGCCAAAGCACCTGATTTGCACTGGAAGCGGTTTCAAAACTTTCATTTAGTGCCGTTTTATGTTTGATCACCAACCAACTTTGCATCCAAAGTCTTTTGCCTGTGCCCTATTCGGTTCACCTCCTTAGAACAAAGCGCCCAACCATAATTACATTCAGCCTCCTCCCGCTCCTCTCCCCTCCCCCACACCACACACAACTGTAAGGTTTTGGGGGGAGAATTCAGATCTAAAAAGGAAAGAAATGGGGACACAGGCTACTCCACGGGCGACCCTGAAAACATGCTAAGTGCAAGAAGCCAGACACCAAAGGCCACATGCTGTATGATTGCATTTATATGCAATGCCCAGAACAAGCAAACCTGTAAAGACAGAAAACAGATGAGTGGCTGCCTGGAGCTGGGGGTCGGGATGAGATGAGGGACAGCTCATTGGTATGGGGTTTCTTTTAGGGCCGATGAAATGCGAGTGCTGGTGGTACAGGTTAGAAGGGCAAATCATATGGCATGCAGAATTTTATTTTTAAAATGCAATGACGGGGGTGCGGGGGGGAGGGGGGAGATGCGGGGAGAGGAGCAGAGAGAGGCTTGACTTAAGAGGTTGACCGGGTCTGCAATGCTGGAAGCACTTGGGTTCCAGAGCAAGCCAGCCATAATGCGATCTATCAGAACAAATGATCTGAAAACTGGCCGGGTGATCGTGCCCCTAACAGAACTCTCAGGGGATTCCCACCTTGAATCAGTGGTTTATCGAGTGCCTACTATGCGAATACCAGACACTGCTGTGCTAGGTGTGGGGCACACCGCAGCGAACGAGACAGACAGACACTTAACAAGAGGTTGCACGCATAATTAATTACCCAATTGCCATTAGGGTCCCTTAGCGTTTATAAAATGAATAGAATATATTTAAGCATGCAAGCAGGTAAGACCTCCCTGAGGAGTTAGTATTTAAGTCAAGTCTGGAAAGCTGGGAAGAAACATGGCATGAAAGACAGAGCTGCTACAAAAGGGGGAAACGGGTCAGGAAGACCCCAGGGTGGGAGAGGGCGCCTGGGAGGACAGAGCCAGCGGGGAGAAGCACCAGCCACAGAGATCTTCCCCAAACCCACCAAACAGGAACCCAGGCTTCTAACACCAGGATCTGGCTTGTGCTGGAAGCGGGTGCCTTCCAGAATGTTCAGTTCCTGAGGTTTTAAAAAGTGTGTCTAATACTGTTGTTTATTCATTCATTCAACACATATTTATTGAGCATCCTCCATGTGCCCGGCGCTGGGTGGGGATACACCGGCCACGCGGCATCCCTGCCCTCCCGGGCTCACATTCTAGAGGGGAAGACAGTCAACAGGTGAGCGGACAGTCAACAGGTGAACAGAAGGTAACTTCACGGGGGAATGGCCCCATCAGGAGCCTGG